AGAAAAATACAAAACTGGCAGAGAGGGACTGAGTGAGAGAAAGACAGAGTGAGAGAAAGAGCGAATGAGAGCGAGAGACTGAGAGAGACAGAGAGAGAGAGATGAGAGAGAGAGACTGAGAGAGAAAGACGGAGAGAGAGACAGAGAGAGACAGAGAGAGAATGAGAGAGAGAGACTGAGAGAGATAGAGAGACTGAGAGAGAGACTGAGAGAAAGTGAGACTGAGAGAGCTGTGTGAGAGAGGGAGAGAGAGAAGCGCCTCGAGGAAATGAATATATTGTGTGGTATTTGTGGGAGAGACTGAGAGGTAGACAGAGAGATTGAGAGAGAAAATATAGGGAGACTGGAGAAGGAAATGTATATACTGTGAAGTGACTGTGTTTTGTGGAAGAGATAGAGCAAAAGACTCTGAGCGAGACAGAGAGAGAGAGACTCAGAGAGAGATATTAAGAGAAAGAGGGAGCAAGTGAGAGCTTAGGGAGATGCAATATATCCATGTGGTGGTGGGAGAGACTAAGAGTGAGTGAGCGAGAAAAAGCGAGACAGAGAGAGAGAGACAGAAAGAGAGAATGATAGAGACAAAGCAAGAGACTGAGAAAGTGACTGAGATAAAGAGACTGGGAGAGAGACTGAGTTGGAGAATGTCAGAGCGAAAGACAGAGAGCGAGAGAGATGAGAGAGAAAGAGACTGAGGGAGTGTGACTGCGAGAAGGAAAGAGACAAAGAGAGAGACTGACAAAGAATAGAATATAGGCAGTGAGAGAGGAGAAAGACAGAGAGAGAGTGCGAGAGAGAGACTGAGAGAAAGAGACAGAAGAGAGAAAAAGACGGAGCGTGAGAGAGATATAGAGAAGACTGTGCTGTTGTGTGCACATGTGTGTGTGACCCTGGTCCCAGCGCCTTGGGACTTGCTCCCCATGTGAAAGGCTCCTGTATATACATGTCAATGTGTTTGTGTTGTTACACTATATTCCCTGTGTTTGTGTCCCTGTGTCCAGGTTGGGGGGCAATAATCTGGGAGATTGTGGAGTGAAGCGACTGTGTGAGGCTCTGAGGAACCCGGAGTGTAAAATACAGAGTCTGTGGTAAGTAACACTGTGTCTCCAGAGTCTGAATGACTCCAATATCTCAATGTGTTTATTGTGACTGTCTGATCAGTGCGACTGAATATTGCGACAGGAATCGGTGTGACAGTGTGAGGCCACAAGCCATCGTTTACATCAAACTCTCAACTTGTGTTATTGTGTATGTGTGTGTGTGTCTGTTTATTTGTCTGTGTTTGCGTGTGTTTCTGATTCTGTGTGTGCGTTTGTGACTGTTTTTTGTGAGTGTCTGTGCGTGCTTGCGTGTGTATTTGTGAGTATCTGTTTGTTTCTGTGTTTGTATGTTTGAGTGTTTTTGTGTGTGTGTGTTGTGTTTGCATTGGTGAATGTTTGTGTGAATGTTTGTGTGCGAGATTGTGTGTTTGTATGTGTGCATCTATTTGTGTTTGTTTGGTTGTGTGGATGTGTATTTATATGTATGTTTGTTTGTGTTATTTTGTGTAGTGTGTTTGGTGTGCTTGTGAGTGTTTACGTTTGTGTGTTTGCATGAATGTATGATTGTGTGTGCGTATGTATTGTGTAAGTTTGTGTGTGTGCGTGTGCACATGTGAGTTTGTTTGTGAGTTTGTTTGTGTGTTTGTGTGTGTATATGAGTGGTGTGTTTCTTGCGTTGTGATTGTCTGTTTGTGAGT